CAATGGTATCTGTAGCCCTGACCAACTGCTTTTTCTTGGTCTCGAGCAGCATTAAGCGCGCATCGGCGCCCGCAACTTTGTCGGATTTGACGGGGACGGCGATTACGGCCCGTGGATCTTCAAACTAAAAGTAGGGCGCTGATAGGATGCCCCGAAGATCGTGGGCAGGGATTCGCACTGCATGTCATATGGAAGCTACCACTAGAATGCTTAAGGACTCGACGACGCTGATCAATATTAATAGTCGTTCCAGCCTCTGACTCGACGTTTGAGGGCAAGTGCTAAGTGCACTCGGATCCCTATTTGTTTCGAACTCTGCATATATTCGCTAGTGGTTTCCACCGTGATACTAACCTGCGGAACTCGCGTGCGAAAATTCTAGGATCAGGCGATGGCCCCACGATGCAACAAGTATAACAGAAATCACGATCAAGGCTTTTTGCTAGATACGATGGGACACGATCTGTCGAATCGGAAAATCATAAGAGGCGCCAGATACCTAGGCGACCTGTAGTAGAGGCTGCAATAAAATGGCCAATTCCAGAATTGAGCACTTTTCATCGCTTCATCATTTTTATGACTTATGTTTTCACTGAGTTTCCCTGACAGTTCTGCAGTTTCTGCAGATGTTTGTGCTGAGACCACGCCTGTGTATCACGAAAAATGCCCTAGGACACTCCTTGGGTACCCCTCTGAGAGCGGTGCTCGTTCGTGGTGGGACGCCGCGCGGTATGAGTAAATAAATGCTCATGCTCATGCCTTGGCATACGAGAATCATACAGCACGCTATTCAACGAAGTCACGTGATGTCATGTGACGTGTCGGAGGGGGGAGAGCTTTTGAAGTTTTACTAATCTCACAAAGTCAACTAGTCAACTAGTCACTAGTCACGCCGACGGTCTACAATGTACAACCTCCACTATGAGAACAGTTGTGCAGACATTTGTGAAAAACATCTGGTACAGCTGCTCTCACCTGCACTGCCACTCCTCAATCAGGGTGTAGTTGTCTTTCCCATTCCTTATTTCCGATTAATCTGGAGAGAATCATTGCAGTTGTTGTGTAAAGGGAATTTACCTTGATTGTTACTGGTGAATGCGGCAATGTCGTTTGACATGCGAGGATGTTGACGCACTGGTGACTGATGTTTGGAAGCACCAAAAGCATGTTCCCATAAAGTTCAAAGGCTACAAATACTGGTATAGTGGACAGGGAAATCAGCGCTCAGCACCAGCAATGATGTGGAAGGACTAACCCTTGACCTATCGACATCTTCTGACCACGTTGTCCGGGTACCCGCGGTAGGCAAGTCATCTCGTGCCCGTATAATTCTGACACGCGGCCGACAACCTGCTGCCTGTCTGGGTGCCACCTACATTACACGACATCACAGTCACAACAATAATCTGATCCTCCAATCCTCAACACCACTCACACTTACCTCGATCAGCTGCGTCCGCTCCCTCAGGCTGGGCACCACGACCCTCCTCGCTCTTCGTATCTCAACCTCGAATTCCGTCCAATCAAGCTGCGCATACAGCGCCCGAGACCGATTGTGGGACTCATACCATGTATTACTCGTGGGCTCCCTACCGAAAAAACACGTTATGGTTGTAGGCGCCGGCTTAAAGCCCAAAGACACGTTAAAGACACGACGACCGCACGGTAATGCACATGCCGACAGACCTGTTGACTCATGATAACCAATGCTTCCAATGCGTGGCAGTTTTTCCACTAGGACGACACGTTCCGCTGTGGATCCTCACCAAGTTTCAAACGCCCGGGATTAAAACCTCGGACTTGCAATCATACAAAGCGGGCTATTGCTTAAACGCCAACGCCACCCTGCACGTCTACACCCACACATACGCGCACAGACGGACAAGAAAGTAAATAAAAAGTTTCAGTGGTACAGTCACGATATGTGGCGAACATTTTGCTTCCACACCTTATTGTCCAGGTATTTGTGGAGCAGGCATTTTTGCTTAAATCCTTGGTTCCTGGAGATGAGCAGTCATCGTCCCCTTTCCTCACAGGTATTCTAAAATTTGTTTGATCGCTCCGGAGCCGTTTCACGCCGTATACATACCAAGATGGAAATGGATACCGCACGTTACGACTCCATGGACGCACAACGTTTCCACCCAGTACTGCGCACTAGCACAGTAAGTATTTCTTTTCCTTTCATTTCATTTCTTTGCATCTTCTAAACACCACGCTCACCTCCATTTCCATTCTCAGAGGCCCAACTCGCTCTCTAAAACCGGCACTGAAAAATCGACAATGGGGCAGGGCCTTTGCGTCAGAACTCGACCGTGTGGACTGTTTCCTGTACGTGCGAGCGTAGGTGGTGTATGGCCGGACCATGAGGTTGTAGTTGTCCCTCTTGAGGGGGGAGATGCACATTCGGAGGCATCACGTTCATCCACACCAAGTTCTTCTGCTTCTACTACATACGCCACTGCGTCTTCCGTTATGCATGATGTGCCTCCATCGCACGCTCAACAAGTCGATGTTTACGAGAGAGATGACGTTGTAGTCACACGCACCATCATCCGTCCCAATCCCACTCCCACTCCCACTCCTTCTCGCAATCCAAGTCGTATGCCATCTAGAGCGCAGATGAGGATTCCACGGATATTCTCACGTTCGCCATCTCCCACCACCTCTCCATCTTCTTCATTATCCGCATTACCACGGTCCAACCCACCTTCGCGCCCTACGAGCCCGGTGCTCCAAGTGCTAAACTGTTTCAGCACATCCTCGACTTTTGAGAGGGATGAGGATGATGTGCATATTGCTGAGAGTCCCAGGCCTACATTGCAGGTTATTGTTACGCAAACGAGGGAGAGATACGAGAACGATAGGGCGTTTAAGGAGATTGTGGGGAGTGTTTATCCGAGACCCGCTGCTGTGGGGAGCGGTGCTTGATGCATCGACGCTTAATGCTTTCAAGTGGATTTTGATTCTTGTACCATTGGTTTCCCCCTGCATATCTTATTGCATATCTTATTAATCGCGATAATCAATATATATGGCTAACTTATATCGATCTAACGGCTCGATGCTATTCTGCAGGCTTTCCTTCATGCCATAATTAATATCTATGTCAATCATATATTAGGGACTAATGGCTTGATTTTATTCAGCAGATGTTCTTTCACGCACTTTTAATATTCATATTTAGTAGCATTATGGTCCTTCATAGTTTCTCTAAGCGGGGTATATAATTCCGTACTGTATGCGAACGATCTGCTGTTGGGAATGCGATTTCAGCTGGAAAAGAGCCCTTCCTCTCAAGTGGGTGATGTAACATAAAGCTTAATGTGTGCTTCCACAAGCATCTCGAGAGCTCGCGCACTAACAGGAGATCTCTTTATCGTGGCTCTCTGAAATAGCAAAAAGTAAGTATGTGACCACCAAGAAGAACACATTCACGTACAAGAGCAAAAGCTGTACCACGATACACGAATCCAAAGAGCTCCTTAAATTCTGGATGTGTCTTGGACACGCCGACTGCATCAAGGTGTCTTACGGTAAATTTCTTGATGATCTGTGGAATGTGACGTTTGAGCACGGCACAACGATGCCAAGGAGGGTTGGACAGACAGATTTGTTCTCCTGCTCTATATCACAAATTCCTTCGTCCACCGCGCGTGCTTTACCTTTAGCATCGCTGACAGGTCCAAAAACGTCTCCCTCTGGTGCGTGGTTGGTTTTCTTTGCTGGGAGCGTGGGTACTTTAAATCCAACGCTGCCTCTTTCCTTCTCCTTTCCTCGCCCTCGTGGTTTCGAATTCGGTAAATGCAGCATGACCTCTCTCGCCCGTCTCACTACCTCTGAGTCATCTCCTTTGACTTTGATCCTCGTGTTCGCTGCCAGTTCTCCGATAGATTGTGTGCGCGTGAGAAGATGCTGAGGCGGTTTTCGGGGTGTAGGATCATCTGGGCGGGGAGCACGAGTAGCAGGAATAATTCGTGCAACGTGGATCGTTAGGGATGGAGTAGTCAGCGACGAATGGATCTTTCCAAATATCAGTATTTCTGTCGTTGCTGGACCATCTACAAATAAATGGCAATCAGTCCAGATCGAATAGAATAATAGAGGAGTAAATGTACCAGTATCTCCCAGGGCCACACGCACGCCTGTGTCTGTCCGTCCATCAGGAGACAGATGCGATAAGCAGAGCATGTTCTCAAAGTAGACGCGAGAGAGGGTGGCGGATGGATGGATGTCCCTGATGGATGTGAACGGGGTGTTGTGGGAGTTCAAAGTATTCACATACATACAGACATCATCTGAAGGGTCTATGCATATATTCTTGAGCAATTCTGTACCTTTTAGTCTGAGAGAGGGACGACCGCGCATGCTCTCGAGTGCTAGTGCGAGTGGGTTGTGGAGGAGGTCTTTGTTAGCCAGAAGGTTTGCTGAGAACGTGAGTCCATCTAAGAGGATATAAGAGTCCGGCAGGGAGAGCGAGCCGCGATATAGGAGACGAGAGCTCGATGCTTCCGACATTAATCAAAACAGTTCGACCGCGTTGTTGATGCTTGTTTACGCGTTCAAGTCCTTTGTTATGATGACTCATGAACTTTGGAAACCCAATGTCATGCAGGCTAGGCCAGGCACTATGCCCTCTGGTATAGCTTTCTATAATACGAACATAGACCCTTTGTCCCGATCGCCGCCGCCGTGACCTATATTTCTTTCTGACACCGAACAACCGCGGTCATCTGGCAAGACGGCTGCGGCTCTGAATGGTCACCTGAAGTAAGAATGTTTGTCCCAACGGAATGGGTGAGACGTTCGCCCGGAAGACTGTCCTAATGTGTCTCAAAATCACTCGTGATTTCAAGTACTTGTCATGTTTGGCAGTTGCGCCTCAGATGCTCATTTCAACAGACATTGTCACGACAAGTATCAGTCCCATCAACTACTTCCAGGGTGTGTTTATATTTATGTCTACAGGTTACATATGTATATCCGCTGGCTCTGGCACGGGGCTTCTGCCGGATGATGGGTACGTTCTCGCCGCGGACTTCCGTCACCCAGTTGCTTCATCCAGCTTCATTCTTCAGCATAACTATTTGGCCAAACCAATCACCAGGGCTGCTGATCCGGTGCGTCGCTTGGATTGGGTCTAGAAGTTGATGTTGGTGGTGCAGCCTGATCTACTGTCCTGATCAATCGATGGTGCAGTCAACATTGATATGGGACATCGATAGACAATTACAATGCAATCAGCTGTAATCAGATCGGCACCATTACTCCTGCGTGTTGATAAGAGATGCAAGCACACATGTTGCGTTATCCCCCCCTCCCCTCAAGGATGCCCACTCTCAGCGATCCAAAAACAGCTGACATCGTCGTCATGATCGATGACGTGCCCGCTGGTGTTTACCGTCATGCTCGTGATGACCTTGAGAAAAGATTACTGAGGAAGCTTGATTTGCGTATGTCCATAATACTGATTTTATATACCTTGAACTTCGTGAGTCTGAGGTTCTTGCAAACTATATTTTGATACTCACTGCACCCTAGATTGACAGGACCAATATTAGGTGCGTGACATACCGATGTACTTGCATGAATCTTATGACGTCTACAGCAACGCTCGGTTGCAAGGTTTTGAGAAAGACCTGCACCTCCATGGGGAACAATATGCCACAAGTTTGTCCATCCTATTTGTTGGATACATCACAATGCAAGTGCCAGGGTGAGTTTCGTCATTCATCCACAGACAGCTGAATGTAATTTTTCTTCAGGAATATGTTCCTACACTGGCTGGAGAAACCTTCTGTCATGCTTCCGTGCTGTATGTTAGTATGGGGTACAATATCAGTATTGACAGGTTTGTCTACAATGATCGTTCATGAAGATGACTGACTGCTAATCGTACTCAGGGATCACAACGAAGTACACTTCCTTGTTTTCCATCGTTCAGAACTTGTTTCTGATAGTTTGACTCAAGTTATACTGGGATTGTTGTCGCCCGCTTCTTTCTTGGCATTGCCGAGGCTCCCTTCTTCCCCGGTATCATATTTCTTGTATCTAAATGGTACAAGCGAGACGAGGTCGCCTTGAGAATAGCTCTCGTTTCTTGTGGAGTTTTTCTCAGCTCTGCATTCGGATCGCTGCTTGCATCTGGTATACTTCACGGCATGCAGGACAAACTTGGTCAAGCTGCATGGAGGCAGGTGGCGATCAGTTTCTATCGCTCCTTGGAGCTGAATGATCTGTAGATGGTTATTTTACATTGAAGGCGGCATCACCATCTCGGTTGCGATTTGCGCGATGCTCATACTCCCTGATTTCCCGTACAACACTAGGTGGTTCACCCCGGAGGAAAAAGAACTTGCTATCTCTCGCCTTGCAGAAGATGGCCATGATAATGCTGACGAACTTCGGAAGCAGACGACCATGCAAGGACTGCGGGATGCCGTGTCTGACTGGAAGGTGTGGTTGTTTTCAGTTGCAGCTATGTTTCAGATAGTGGGGCAGTCTTTCATCGCTTACTTCCCAACGCTGTGCGCGACACTGGGATATGACGCGACTGTAACGCTGTTGCTTTGCGCTCCTCCGTGGGTGTTCGGGGGCATGGTCGCATTTCCTCTTGCATGGTTAGTCAATCATTTCTATCAGAAAGTCGCATCTCACGGGGCCCAGGTACTCTGACAAAAAGCAGAAACGTTACAAATGCTTCATGGTCTCCAATGCACTCTGCGTCCTTGCATTCATCATATCGATGTTTACGATGGACAAGGCTGCGCGCTATATTTCACTGTAAGTGGTATCGCCATTCGTGGGGCATCAAGGCTCTTGTACTTAGATATATACAGGTTCCTGATGACTCAAGTCGTCGGTGGATACTTGGTGCTCGTAGGGTGGATCAGCAACACTTTCGCCAGAGAACCTGCGAAGCGCGCCGTTGCTATTGCTCTGATGAATACACTGGGGCAGACAGGCAATGTTATTGGATCGTCAGTGACATTGTCATCGATCTCTCGCTAATTATTCACGACTGCACTCCACATAGGTACGTATGGCCGTCGAACTGGGGCCCGACATATCGTTATTCCTATGCCATTTGCATTGCTACACTTGCAGTGTCGACAGGCATGTTTGGTGGTATGTATTTGCATTTGAAGCATCTGAATGAGCAGATTGAGAGGAACGAACGGGACGTAAAGGATGTCAATGACCTTCGGTACCCGATCGGTTTTAGATATCTGGTGTAGTTGAAGAATGAAATATTGATTGCTGAGACTCTGACAGTAACATCGGATGGTTGTTTACCCGTTCAGAGGAGAGTCAGACCTCCGAGTCTTGTTCTTCGCATCAATACTGATAAGACAACATGGAGACAATGGATAGGATGGCAAGGGCCCCCTCAAAGGCAAGTATGTATCTGGTGTCGCACATCATTCGTGCTATCGCAAGTGCCGAGTTTCATAGCCATTCGCATCTGCAAATAAGAATGTTAATTCGCTTCCTGAGCTCATACGCTCAACTCAAGTCCCCGTATGTTTCTTCTGATATCATGTATGCCAGATGTTGTTTCATTGATGGCATGATTACCAGATACCAGATCTCGGAACCGCGCCATACTCCCAACTTGAAGACAGTTCCCTTTATACGAACAACCCCGCCATCATCACTGAACGCCAACATCAGCGGGTTAGATCGTGCTACAGAGTGCTACGGAGCGCTTCGTAGCACTCTGTAATCATGTGTAATGAGTTACGTTTCCCTGATGAACGACAACTAAATGCGGTTGTTCACGGGATCCCAGGATTGCAAACAGTCATGGATAGTACCAACAATCTTCATTAGCAACTTGTTGAAAAGAATAACAAGATTACCTATATACCCAGTCCATACATTCACACAAGGGACTCGTATCAGCTCTCTGGCACGTGCTCGGGGCTGTCAATGTAACAAGATGGCCCCACGAGGCGTTTAAGGCATTTTTGACACGCTCAAAGTGTCTCCTGAAGACCTTGATAATGAGTTATCGATAGCACAGTATAGGCGCTATTTGCAAACAATTTATGATTGAGTCCGTACAGCTTGTACAGTACCCCATCAACACTGCAGCATCGACATACGTCCTGGACCGAATAGTACAGTCATGCTCGCGTCAGGGAAACGATGCACTAGTGGTATTGGTAAGGACAACTGATGCAAGAATATATTGGTCTGCCCCAGAACCTGTTTCTCTTTCAAATTTGCTTCCATGCGACCAACAAGTTGCATATCTAAGTATCAAAACGAAATTCTGAATAAACACAAACGAATTCGTATCGAGAATCTTCTTCCGTTTCGCATAGTACTGCTAGCTGACACAGGCGCGCTCCTGGAAATCGATTGAAGTCATAGCGGTTGCTGCATCGGAGTGGGCCACAAGCTCAGCATGATATTCTCGAATGCTTAGGATGAGGCGTGGTCCCAGTATAAACATCTGCGTGAGCATAAATATTTCAGAGAAACCACTATAAGCTTGGGTCTCCGTGGAATATGAGGACTATGAAAATGATGAATCAGGGTTGCATGCATAGGTCAGAATAGATCGGCGTACCGCTGAGATCTTCGGAGAAAGATAACCGATGGACTCTATGCAAGCAAGAGCGACAAAGCTAGCACATACAGGACTTGAATTAGCACCAAAAGAATGTATTCAGATTATGAGCTCACTTCGCAAAGTAAACAACGTGAGTTTTCATTAAAACCGTGAAACAGTCGGTGATGAATCCCCCTGATGATCGTTGTCGCAGTTCACGCAAGTGTTTTACAGCCACCCAGACTGCGAGAAACAGTGTGAGGACCTCCCATGCCGCGAGGAGCATCCAAGCGGTGTAATCCAGAGCTCGTAGGCTCCCTCCCCGAAAAGAAACAGCGCACTCATAGTTGCCGTAAAGAACGTGTTCCTCTGATATTTGTCAATGAGCCTGATCTTTTATCCACAATTAATGCTTACCCACTACAAAACGGCTCACCATTATTGCGATCATTACTCCGATGGAGATTCTGATAGCCAGGAAGACAATGACGAGGAATATCAGCACACGTCTGGATTTCTGATACATGACATATAAGCGAGCGATCATGATGACTTGGCTGATGTTTTAGTCAAGTCCATATCACGAAAATCCATAGCTCACCACCCAATATTATATTTGCAACACCGTTGATATATTCTATTGCATCGATCAACACATGGCCTGACAAATCAAGCAATATGAATTATTAGTCTCGGAGGAGCACACATTTGAAAGAAACTCACAGCTGTGGAAGTCATTATCTTGAATCAACGAGTTTTTCGAGAATATCACTCACCCCTGCATGGCAATATGTTAGTTGAACGGGAATGACAAGGGTTTATGAAGAATACTCACCATATCTGTTACCGAAATTGTCGGAACATAAACTGTATATCCTTGGTCAGAACAGGCACGATGAATATGAGGAAACACACCTAGAATGCAGATGCTGATTGTAAACAATAGCTGATTAGCGCGACGCGGATTGCATAGCCTCCGAAACGTACATGGCATATATCATTCCGATGTAGCGCACCTAGGATATTTCGAAGTTAGCACCATGACTTGCCAACCACATTTATGTCACGAGGTACATACACTGAGATACATAACGGTCATCAGGGACCAGCGTTGGTTCTGCCGCACAATAGTTGGACTATCACGTCGTTCTTCTGATACAAGAATCCACTCACCCAGATCAGCTCAACCTGTAAATCATCATTAGCGGGATGTTTGCTCCAATAATGGCATCAACCTGACCTCTTGTCCGAATGTGAGTGCTTAAAATACATAGGTATATCAGTGATTTTTTGATACTCGATCCTGCTCACCCCAGTCGTACATTACACAGACAGAGGAGGCAACTGCGAAACCGTGAGCAAGGTGAGATCGAGTTGTCATTGTCATAATCCGACTAGCTGTCCACGAACCTACAAAATAGCTGCACATGTTATGTGGATCAAGGAGTGGCCCGGACCAACTGGGATCATCTGAAACTAGCGCGGTCATATTATTGGAGGATGGAAGTGAGCGAGCAGGAGAAACTTGGGAGGACGTATGGGGATGGCTTAGATATACCACCATCAAGTGCTTGGGATGATGCCTCTTCCTGCCTTGGTTGGCATATGAAGTGAAGCAGGCAAGGATTCTATCAATGAAATACTGTAGATCACATGCAGTCCTAACTTAGCGCAATATAAACATCGAAAAAGCTTGAGGCCTCGGATTTCAATGATAACATCGAATTCAGCAATCCCTTCGCCTCGCTGGGCCGATTTACGAGGCACGATAAGAACGACTTGGTTACATTCTATCAGCCTAAAGGTCAGATAGACAACGATATCATTAGTAAATGTCACTAACAGACAACTCACCAGTGCACCGTTATCATGAGATCTGCCAGCACACATACCTCAACGCGTAATCCAATAAACCGCTTTCCTCTCCCAAAGTCAATCGGATCCCCGGTCCTGGGATTGATCATCGGTCGCTCCATGCGCACTGTAACGTTCATGTTTTCGATGTCTTTATCGGGCTACAATGTCACAAAGACTCTCATGCGTAGGTAGCTTTGTTACAGATAAAAATTCAGTGCACAACGTACTAGATAGATGCAATTGCTCCGACAATTCAAATACTATCCATATCGGTGCAGGTAGCCTGTATAGTTTGCGATGTGCCACCTCAATGCTTAGTGACTGAAAGTTAGCTTCCCGTACTATATGCCTGCGAACCAAATAGAGGGAGGGACGGTTGTTCCTTGGTTACGTGAGATACAAGCGAGTATCCGCACCATTTCCTTTAATTCGTGTACATGCTGGTGAGTACAGATGGGACAAGAAGTACATAGTACATGCGTTGTTCCCAATTCCCAGTCATTAAAACACGGCGTGCATAGTGACGAGGGCAGCCGTACAAAGATAGGGAACGGGAGAGATGAAGAGCGGGTATATAAAGCCAATGTATCGGTTGTACGAAGAAAGAACGATGAAGAAGGAATGGTGGGAACATGGAACGAAAGCGACAATGAAGGTGTGGTGATGATACGCACTTTAATGAACGTGCGATGACTCCGGTTTAGTGGTTCAAAAGTAATGACGAGATTGAATGTGCCAGTGAATAAATACCTGTGAATGAACTTGAGGGGGTGAGTGCCGGTTGAACTGAATATTCGGACCCATTTCTTTGAAAGCTGAGAAACTTCGCCCATTTATTGGAAGGACCATCCCAAGCCCAAGAGACACAGACCAATATTGGAGCCAAGGAATAGGTACCAGACGACAGATAGCGCTTGCAGTGTGTGTATGTCTAGCATCATATCGAGTCTGCTGCAGAGATCGGAGGAGTCACTGAACAGCACTGAACGCTGGTGGCCGCGCAAGCTTCAGGCTGAGTCTGATCAGTCACGTGTCGCAAATTTCCTAAAGTGGGTTTTTTTTTTGTATCCATTTATGTCCATTGAGAGAGAGACTCTATGTAGGACAGTACTTTCTAGTCTAAGGGACCCCTGTGTCCCTGTTGTTGGAAAGCATGACGCTCAGTGTTGGTGAACAACGACTGTATTCACAATCTAAGTACCTGTTGGAAAGCACGACGCTCAGTGTTGGTGAACAATGACTGAGGGACACAAAGAGCAAGATGACAAGGTATTTGAATGTTACAAGATATGGGGCTCAAAGAGCCGGAGAAGTCAATGACCATGCGGCGCCAAGCGCAACACATATGGTGCGAAGTGGCGAGGTTGAACAATACCCTAAAGTAATGTTAATCAGTCCCAAAAACGAGACCCCAACTCCAATACACCCCCTCAACCCGCCACAAGTGAGAGACCTGCACAATGCACAATGAACGTAGGACATGGAAGAACCTTGGTGAAGATGTCAGCACTGTTGCAATGTGTGGAAACCCAGATGGGTAAGAAGGTGCCGGCTTCGATGTGTTTGCGGATGAAATGGTAGCGTAAGTCTATGTGTTTCGTG